ATCTGTTTTAGGTACGAATTTTCTTTAACAAAATTCAAATGATATTCTGTTCAAAAATTTAATTAAATTCATTTGTAAAAAAATATGTATTAACTTGAGATTATATTTTATACTTTTATTATTGTAACAGAATAAATATTAACATCATAATATACTATCCATTTAAAACTAATACACATCATTAGTACCAAAATTTAGAGGGTTTGATCCACATAAAGACTCTATAGTGAGATTCTCAACTAGAGTTTGGGCTCTAACCGAGTTGATCCACTATAGAGACTCTTTAGTGAGATTCTCAACTAGAGTTTGCCCTCTAACCGAGTTGATCCATATGTGGAGGGGAGTTGAAACAATGATTTGCTCAAATTATCGAGGTGAAGTATACTCATACTCTTTCTCTATAACTTTTTTTTAAGACTAAACCTAGGGTTGGGAAGCAATCCTAACTAATTAAGTTGGATTTAGTATGATCCCAACTTTAACTTTAACATTGTCTCCATGTTTATCTTATGATCTTTTATGTTTTTTCTTGAAACAGATTTGGGATGGGGGTTTAGCATTGAAATTTCTAAATTTGTTATGTTTTATTAAAGTGGAGAGACTATATTTCACAACGCGCAATAAAATAATAATACCAGATATGAAACTTCATGTATATATTTCACAACGCGCAAAAAATAATAATACCAATATGAAACTTCATGTATATATAAAGTTTCCATTGAGCCAAAAATTGAAACGAACGACAAAAAATAAAACTATCTTAGCAAACCTATATTACTAAACGCAAAAGCACTAACGAGTGAAATCTAGATATGAAATTTTCTCTATAAAACTCTCTTAGGACGTATCCACGCAAAAAAATCAAGTAAAAATAAACTTATCTTAGCAAAACTATATTTCACAAGGGATTTTTCAAACTGGATTTACTCAGTCTAAAAGGGATGCACTCCTTAGTCTAAAACGGATGCACATACAATGTAATAGCCTTAGTCATAAACGGATGCACATACACTGTAATAGCCACCC